AGAATCCAGATTTTCTGGAGCCACTTAGTCTGCTTAACTTTCCAAAACTATTACTTTGAGAAATCTTTAAACATCAAACTGAAACTAACCCTTGATGTGTTCTTTGAACCCAATAATCGGTTAGCCTAATTGGAGAAGGGTACCTGCATTAGATGTTGGACTGTTGTAAAGAGTTATCTATGTGTCACCAAATTGTCAGGGCAACTCGAAAGGATAGAGGAGAAGCTTTGTGTTGATGCTGAAATGGTTTGGAAAAGGTCAAGAAAGGCAGTACCACTTGAAAAATCTATCCAATGTCTCTGAATTGTATATGTAAAAATTACTAAAGTTGTTGTTAGGTACTGTCCAGTCGGTAGTGAATCACGCACAACAATACAGAACACTGCACAGTCCTGCGCCAGCCTCACAGACATTGCGACGCTTGAGTCCATTGACAATATTCTGGTGCTCTTTATCATGTTTCAATATTCAGTAATCTGGTGCTGTCTGACAGGGTTCCACTGCTATTCATAAGGTTCAGTGACTCAATATTTGAAAGTAGTCCGTGTCTCCTTCTTGGTCTGTCTTCCTCTGGAAGCTCTGCTGAAACCTGTCCACCATGAGTGACCCTGCTGGTATTTAAAATACCATGGCCTAGCTTTCAGAATCACAGCAACACACATGCCCCCACAGCACAACCAGCTGACAAGACGAGTGGTGGTGGTTATGTGCTATCAAGTCAGTTCTGACTCATAATGACCCTATATTGTGTTTCCAAGGAATGGCTGGTGGAGTCCTGGTATGGCACTGTGGGTTAATGCTGTGGACTGCCAAGTCGGTTTGAGCCACAAGGTCGGTAGTTCAAGCTTACTGGCTGCTCCTTAGAAACCCGATACAGAGTCACTATGGTTGGAATTGACTGGACGGCACTTAACAACAACAAGGAACAGCTGGTAGATAGGAACTGCCGGACTTGCGGTTAGCAGTTTTGTTGTAGTTAAGTGCTCTCAAGTTGGTTCTAACTTGCTGTTGTTGTTGTTAGGTGCCATCAAGTCAGTACCAACCCATAGTGACATTATGCACAGCAGAACGAAACACTGCCCGATCCTGGCACTACTGTTGCCATGCTTGAGTTCATCGATGCTTCTGCTTGGCCAATCCATCTCGTTGGGGTCTTCCTCTTTTTCTCTGACCCTCCATCTTATCAAACATGATACCCTTCACTAGCAACTGTTCCCTCCTGACATTATGTCCAAAGTATGAGAGATGAAGTTTGGCCATCTTGGCCTCCAAGGAGCACTCTGGCTGCACATCTTCCAAAACGGGTCTATTGGTTCTTTTGGCAGCCCATGACACTTTGAATATTCTTCTCCAACACCATAACTCAAAAGCCTAAATTCTTTTACGGTCTTTCTTATTCACTGTCCAGCTTTTGCATGCATATGAGGTTATTGAAAATACCATGGTTTGGGTAAGGGACACCTTAGTCCTCAAGCTGACATCTTTGCTCTTCAGCATTTTAAAAGGTCTTGTGCAGCAGATTTGCCCAATGCAATACATCGTTTGATCTCTTGACTGCTGTTTCCATGAGTGTTGATAGTTGATCCAAGAAGAATGAAGTCCTTGACAACTTCAATCTTTTCTCCTTTGATAAGAGTGCTGCTTTTGGTCCAGTGGTGAGAATTTTTGTTTTCTTTATACTGAGATGCAATCCATATTGAAGGCTGTGCTCTTTGATCTTCATCAGTAAATGTTTTAAGTCGTGTTCACTTTCAGCAAGCAAGGTTGTATCATCTGCATATCCCCAGGTTGTTAATGAGTGTTTCTCCAATCCTGATAACACGTTTTTCTTCATAGAACCCAGCTTCTTGGATTATTTGCTCAGCATACAGGTTGAATAAGTATGGAGAAAGAATACAATCTTATTGCACACCTTTCTTAATTTTAAACCATTCAGTGTTCCCATGTTCTGTTCGAACAACTGCCTCTTTTCTTTGTCCAGGTACAGATTCCTCATGAGCACAATTAAGTGTTCTGGAATACTCATACTTTGCAATGTTGTCCATAGCTTGTCATGATCCACACAATCAAAAACCTTTGCATAGTCAATAAAGCACAGGTAAACATCTTTCTGATATTCTCTGCTTTCAGCCAAGATCCATTGGACATCAGCAATGATATCCTTCATTCCACGGCCTCTTCTGAATCTGTCTTGAACCTCTGGAATTCTCTGTCAGTGTATGCTTGCAGCCGTTTCTTTATTACCTTTAGTAAAACCTTATTCGCATGGGATATCAAAGAGATTGTTCTATGATTTCCGCATTCCGTTGGGTCACCTCTCTTTGGAATGGGCATACATATGGACTTCTTCCAATCAGTCGGCCAGATAGTTGTCTTCCAAATTTCTTGGCAGAGATGAGTTAGTGCCTCCTGTGCCACCTCACTTTCTTGAAAGATTTCCATTTTTATTCCGACAATTCCTGGCCCCTTGCTCTTTGCCAATTCCTTCATTGCACCTTAGACTTCCTCCTTCAGTATCATTGGCTCTTGATCCTATGCTACCTCTTGAAATCATTGAACATTAACCATTTCCTTTTGGTACAGTGACGCTGTGTGTTCCTTCCATCTTCTCTTGATGCCTTTTGCATCATTCAGTAATTTGCCCAGAGAATCTTTCAATAACGAAAGTCGAGGCTTGAATTTTTTTCTTCAGTTCCCGCAGCTTGAGAAATGCTGAGCGTGTTCTGACTTTTCGATTTTCGGATTCCAGATCTTTGCACATTTTGATGTAATATTTGGCTTTATCTTCTCGAGCTGATATTTGAAATTTTCTGTTCAGCTCTTGTCCCTCCTCATTTCTTCCATTTGCTTTAGCATCTCTGCGCTGGAGAGCAAGTTTCAGTGTCTCTTCTGGCATCCATTTTGAACTTTTCTTTCTTTCTTGTCTTCTTAATGACTTTTGGCTTTCTTCATGTATGATGCTCTTGATGTCAGCCCACAACTCTTCTGTCTTCGGTCTTTAGTATTTAACGTATCAAATCTGTTCTTCAAATGATCTCTAAATTCAGGTGGGATATATTCAAGGTCATATTTTGGCTCTCGTGGACTTGTTTTCATTTTCTTCAG